GTGGTGTGTTGGAGAATGCACACAGCTCGTTACACTGAGCAGTGTAAAAGCAATTCCTTCCTCGCTTGGTTTCTAAGGGGACGAGGTTTCCGTCTGCTCATCTGCCAGCTCCCCTTTGCAATTGCCCAGTTTGTGAGCCTGCTAGCTAGTTTGAAACATTATAAAATTTAGCAACGCGAGGAAAAGAGGGACCTCAGAGATCCCCCATCCTCCGGAGCTCATGGCCACCACTGCCTGTGCAAGGGAGAGGTTCAACCCACAGCCCTCAGCAGGGGAAGGCTGGAGCAGGAGCCCACTGCGTTGGCAGGGAAATGGGCCCGCAGGTTCCCGGCGTGGGAGCAGCTCTGCATGCACAGATCTGCACACACACGTGCATGTGTGTATTTATGTATGTGCAAGCCTGCGGGCATGTATGCATCCATATGTGTGCACGTCCATGCATGTGCACGTGTGTCTCCAGCCCCCCTGTGTCTCACAGGGACAATGTCATGTCCAGGTGGGAGAAATCTCTTTGGAGACACGACTCCCTGGGGATTTGGCCGTGTTTCATCAGCACACCGAAAATCCCACCTTTGCATGCCCTCATGTCCAGGCCGCCTCTTGGGAATAGTCCCTGGCCTGCGCCTTGTCCCAAAGCACATTTGCAAACTGGCGCTGCTGTCAGTGGGGGCTCAGCATGGGGGCTTTGCTTCAGGTGGCTGGATCCAGCCTGGTTCAGCTTTTCCCAGCCCAGAGGAGCCGCTTTCCATCTCTGAAATAGCAACTCAGATGATGCTCTCGGCAGCTGGGGATGATGATGCAAAATGCTCGTTATCCAGCAGGAACAATTAGACTTATGCAATTATCTCTGCAGTTGCTGAGAGATGCCGGAACAGGCCGGCCAGCAGCCAGCTCCTGGTGTAATCCCTGGGTAGGAGAGACATGGTGCCTGGCCTTGCCAGGAGCTGCCATTGCCGGGGAGGAAAAGCAAAACACAGCGGGAGCATCCGAAGCCTCCTGCAGTGCCAGGAGGGCCGGTTTTGCACGGGAGTGAGAGCAAGGACAGGCAAATGTTTATCTGAAAGCCAAATGCCCCTCTCTAATGACATTTGTTTGCATTCGGATTAATGATGAGATGGGCTGAGCCACGCTGGGTTTAGGAGATGGCGTTATGGACTGAACTGCTTCATGTGATGCTCTGGCTTCCCTCTCTGCCGGCTGCCATCGTGGGAGAAGCCAGGCTGGGCTCAGCTTTATCCTCAAGGTAGAAATGGGAAAAACTTGCTCCAGGCTGGATCAAGCCACGGGCACCCAATGGTCACCGAGCCGGTCAGCGGCTAGCTGAGCTGGGCTTTAGGACGCATTCCTTTGGGGAAAAAAGTCAGGCTTCTGGCTGAGAAATGCCCATGGGGTAAAGGCATAAAGGGCAACTTCACTCATTTCTCAAGCCAGAACAACAAGGAGGGCTCTTCTTTTCCCCCTTGACATTGTTTGAAAACCTTATTTTGACACAGCTAAAATGAAGCAAGCCCTGCTCCCTGACAGCTGCTCAGAGCCAAAACCCCAAACCAATCCCAGCCCAATAAACAACTCCTCCTCGGATAAATCCAAGTGCAGCCAGGATGGCGAGAAAGATTTGGGCAGGATGGGATGCAGCTGAGCACTGGATCACCAGCTGATGCCCAAGGGGTGGCCGGGAGCGAGGGAGTAGGAGCTGGAGGCATGCGGGGAGCCTGCTCCAGGAAAATCCAGGCTATTTTCCATTGAAAACTTTATCTGAGGCAAGCATGCCTCCACATCCTGGCCTTGTTTGTGCTGCAAGAGCCAGCAAACTTCCCAGGTAAGTTTAGCTACCTGGTCAGCAAAACCTCTCTGATATGCTTTGTTTATTAGCGGCTAAACATTAAACCCTTGGCAAACAGGGCTCCTTGGGGCCAGGGACGTGTGACCGTGACAAGCCACCCCGCGGGCTGCCGGCCCCAAAAACGGGCAAGAGCTGCAGGCACAGCCAAGGAGGGGGACAGGCTGCTCCAGACAGGGGGATAGCAGCATCTCAGGGGTCCAGGCTCGGCTGCAGTTGCCAAAGGGAGCCCAGGACCAGGAGAAGGAAGGCTCACCAAAACACTGCTCTCACTGTGGCCCTGCAGAAATGTACCTTTCCCCAGGTCAGGAGAAGGGTGAAATGGTTTCTCACTGGAGCTGGATGGAGCTTTCCCCATCTTCCAGCGCCTTGATTCGCAAGACAGATGTGTCTGCCATGATGCCAGCGCTGCCCCAGAAACCCACTGCTCGGGCACACAGAACTGTGCTCTTCAAGGACACCTGATGCATCTCGCAAAGCCCAGGCAAAATTTGTCTGGTTTCCGTAATTAGGCCAATTATAGCGAAATGGTATTTGCAGTTCGAGCAAAGGACAGGCTAAAATCTTAACCTGATGCCTTTTCAGTGGTGCCAAAACACAGCCCAAACAAAGCTCCTTTCCTCTTCCCCTGCGTTAAGTAACCAAAGAGCAACATTTTGAAGCGCTCAAACATCAGGTAATGGCTTTTCCTGCCACACTCGAAGGGAACCTGACAAACACACAAACAAAGCCTGACCCACTTCAGCAGAATAAGAACTACACCAAGAAAGGGAGCAGGGATTTCAATAAAGTCCTTAATGCAGCCCCATTAGCAAGTGTCTGCTACATGCATCCAGGTAAATTTATCTCGACAAGTCTGTTGTCTGAACAGGGCACGCTGTGAAACCCGCACCGTGCCCATGCACCGGGCAGTGCTGCTCTGGGACCCAGGGGTGCACGGCACGGGGATGCACACGGGGATGCACAGAGGGATGCACGCACACAGGGACGCGTGTGCCCAGGGATGCACACACACGTATGTGCTACCCTGGATGCGTGTTCATCCAGGGGGTGAGGGAAACAATCCTTGCCCAGACCGGGCGCTGGGCACTGGTGCAGGCTCTTGCAGCTCTTCAAGCCCACGATTGCGTATCGAGAGTGCAAACGCAGCCGCCTCATGCGTTTCGTGGCACATGTTTCGTGGCTAACTCATTATTTGTAAATAATGGCAGGGACGTTGCTGAGTCACCACGCCGCGGGTGAGAGCCAGCAGGGATCCGGGGCTGGTTTTGTCCCGTGGTAACAAAGGCACTTCCTTCTGCAGGGGTAGGTTTCCTCAGGGGCACCCCAAATTCACACTCCAAGCTCCTGCCTTGCTCCTGAGGGTGAGTTTCGCCCCTTTGCACTGTGTGGAAACTGAGGCTGGGAATGCTTGAGCCCGGCTCTGGGATGACCTGGTGGGACCCTGCGGGGACTGGTGGCTCCCAGGACCCACCACCCCGGGATGCCCCACGGGCACTGCATGGCCTGATGGAGGCAATAAGCTTCGGAGCTGCTTGCGCCCAGAGATGGGCCAGGCTGGGGGCTGTGGCTGACCCGGCTGCATGTTTTCCTGGATCCATGTTTCTGCGTAGCTGACCTTGCACAAGAAGCCCTCCAGGCTCCCCTAGCCCACACGCTGGCTTGGGAGCCTCCCCCGGGGTGGCATGCAGCCTGGGCCAGCCTCCGTGTTTGCTCAGCGGTGGGGTGGCATCAGTGAACATCAGGAGATCGCTGGACACTCCCTGTGCCCTTGAATCGTCCCCATTCTCCCCCCGAGGCTCAGTGCAGCGAAGCACTGGCCTTCACGGCCAGGCCAATGCCCTACAGCTTCCGATACCCAACCCGGAGTTACAAGTGGCTTGGCCAAACCTCCTGTGCCACCTCTTGTCCCAGGCTCTGTTCTCTATGCTGGGCAGCCATGCTCCTTGAGGACGGCATCTCCCAGGGCACTGGATGATGGCCCCCCTTCTCGTGGCAGCCCCAGGATGGGGCATTGCAGGGTTTCCCCAGCAGCTCTGCCAAAGCATGGTGAGCTCCAGGAGGCACTTGGGGTGCTCTGGACACATTTGGTGCTGCTTGTTCACACCAGCTGCTTCTTAAACCCTGATGGTACCCAGAGCACCAGCAGCTCTGGGAACGTGTGCTGGTGCAGGGCTGCATGTCTGGGGGCAGCCAGACCTTCAGGGTCTAAAATCTCTCTGGCTAAAACATTGCTTCAAAGGATGAAGCTCAGCTTATGACACCCCCATTCCCATCAGCACCTCCGAGGAGCCAGGGACATCAGGGCCCTGAAATGGCCCCTGAATGATTCCAGGAGTCAAGATGAGTCAGAGCCTGAGACCCAATTCCCATCTGGTGAAAACTAAGGGGAACTTGGCAAGGAACCAGAGCAGTTGCAGGATCACAGCCATGACCTAACGAAAAGGGCCAACGTTTCTGTGCCACTGACCACAGCCAAGGGCTGGAGCTGTAACTTCTCATTTCTATCACCCCATCTGAGGTGGCCACAACCCTGACACCACCTTCCCAACTTAGCAATACTGACTTACCCCACCACAGCAGCTTAAAACAGAAAATTCAGGCTGACGATGCAGTGCAGGGACAGGAGGAAGAGACAAAGTTCAACCCGGTGATAGCCACATGGTAAAAAATGGTAACAGAGCTGGTGGCAACAGCACAACAAGCTCCAGATGGTCCAGCAGTGAGAAGCGGAGCCCGGTGAAATGCCAGACCATCAATATAAGAAGGTCAAGTCATTGTAAGGAAATGGTGAAAGGTGCAGAGTCACCTGGTGCTGAATTAAATGAATAAACTGGTGGTAAATCCCTCAAAAGTTAGCTCTGGAAGCAGACAAGAGGTGCAATTTGTATGGAAATGACACAAATAAGAATAACATTGGTATTTTAAAGGAAACAAGCAATAACAAAAGAGGCTCTGGATATTATTATTTGGATAATTATTATTTGATCAGCTGGTTTTTAGGATAACAGGTTAACCAAACATTTGGGTGAGCAGTGAGTATAGGTGATGGCTTCAAGATGCAGGAGGTCAGATGGCTTGGAGACATTTGCACATTTCAGAAACTGCAAGTGAATTATACAGAGCCACAATTGAATGCATACTGAGGAGAAACAGGTCAATCATTTGCACCTCAGGGTTATTACCAAATCCAGGGGGAAAATTGTTCTCTTCATTCCACACTAAGCACCTTTGTTCATGCTTTGGAGTTCTCCTAGGTTATTCGGTCAGGTCCTTCTGCTGAGGATTTGTCAGTGGATGAAAAAATCCAGACTGAAAATTAGGAAGAACTGCAGATCCACACAAGAATGGCGGATGGACAGACACAGCCCTTCCGTTGGAGACCCCGACAGGATGGAAACCCCCAACAGGACTGCAAAGTGATGTGTAGGGGGAAGACCACGTTGGTGGTGATGTCTATTAGGGACTGCATTACAAGGGCGTAACCCAGGTCATCAAATATTCACCCCATGGGGACAAGGGTCTCACAGCTTGGAGCTCCACAAGGGCAGGTGAAGGTTAGGGCACACCAGCACTGCTCCTCAGCTGAGGTCAACACTTGTCTGCATGCCCAAAACCATGTCTCCTCTTCCCTCCCCAACCTGCCAGCTGGCTCTCACCTCTCCCTGCAGTCCTCACCAGGGATATGGACACACTGTCACAGTATAGACAACAGCTCTACCGTGCCCCTCGCACAGGCTGACATTCAAATGGTGAACACACAGCCTCATCCAACCACTGAAGATGCTGGTGAATTGGTGGAGGAGCCTGTTGAACCACAACCCTACCGCAAAACAACTTCGCTCTCCCCTGGACTTGCCACGAGACATGACAACCCCCAAAGGACAGAGATGGGTCACCTGAGGGAGCTGGAGGAGCCGTTCCCACAAGAAAGGGAAGGTAAGTGGCAGGGACAGGGAAGAACACCCAACTAGATGAAGCCATGTGTTCCAGCTGCTGTGAGAACACATGACCCAAAATGGGAACTGAACGGCACAAATAAATGCTGATTGACAGTGCTTTAGGTACGGCTGAATGGTACCCGCGTGTTGTCACCTGCTCTAACAACTGCCTGACTCACCCATCAGAGGCAGGCATCCAGCAGCCTAGCAATTAGCCGCCCTCCTCCATAAAGTCAAGGGGAGAGTTAAAACCAGCACAGCACAGAGGAAAATTGCCCCCCATGGAGCCCGAATCAAGTCTCGCTTTAGAAACAGCCCATAAAAAGTGACAGAAATGAACCTCTCAACTCAGCCCCACGGAAGGGACGCAGCATCCTGTACCTCCTGCTTGGCTCAGTCGAGGTCCATAAATACCACCAGCCTCCCCGCAGGGATCTGCTCAGCGGGACCCGGACTCCTTCGCACATTCCAGCACCAGCGCCCGAGCCGGGATCTATTTCTGACAGTAGGAACAAAGTGAGCGATTGCATCTGCTATATTTAGAGCAAACCGTCAATACTCCATGTGTTTAGATGGTTACCAAGCATTCTTATTTGATACATAAATAGCCTCTGTTTGCTTTTTGAAAGAAATTGGTTTTAAAAAGAAAACTGCCTTCCCAGTCATCCTCAGCCCGTAACTGCTGAGCATGGGGGCCTATTTCAAATGAAAAATTAAATTACTCATTTTCCCTAAGCCAACCCAGGTAGAACTCGTGACTGTGGCTGGTATTGTCAGCACTGCGATCCTTTGTGTTGACAGAGGGGTTTGCTGAAGCAAACTCTGAGCCCGTTTGGTGCAGAGGGGCATCACCCTCCACCTCCCAGCCTCGGTCATATGCCATCTCCAGCCGCCCCTTCCACCCGCAGGTCAGTCACGCCAGAGCCCCCATTTCTTCCCCCTCTCCCAGCTTCACAGCGGTCCCAGCCCCGACACCAGATTTCGGTCTCTCTTCCTCCAGATTCCTCCGGTTTCCAGCCCAGGCTCTCAGCCAACGCTCCAGCTTACTTTCCCTCCGACTGATGTCAGCCTTGCTTCCTCCCTCGGGCAGAAAGCCTGGTCCTACGTAAGCATCCGTCTTTAAAGTCATTACAAAGACCACGTCCCCGTCACTCAGCCCCCTCGACATATTGTCCCCAGTTGCATTAAAAGTCAAACGAAGGACACCAACTAATGAAACACCACGGCAGAAAGCTGGGATCTAAAAGAGACAGCGAAACCCTGCTGTGGTTATTGATTTAACACAGAACAACGCACCCTCGGGCTGCGGGACCCCACGCGCTGCCCTTCCTCCCACCTCCCACCTCCTGTGCCGGGCTCGGTCACGCGTGGGGCAACATGCCAGCGGGGTGTGTGCGGCTGGGGAGGGAAGAGGGGCTGCTGGGGGGTCACAGGGTCACAGCCCAAGCTCAGGCCCAGGCCCAGCCTCAGCCCAAGCTCAAGCTCAGGCCCAGGCCAAGCCCTGGCCCCAACCCCAGACCTAGACCTGGCTCAGGCTCAGGTTCAGGCCCAAAGTCAAGCTCAAGCTCAGACCCAAGTTCAGGGGAAAGCCCAGGCCCTGCACCCAGTGCAGGCCCAGGCCTAGACCACAGCATAGGCCCAGGCCTATGCCAAGCCCAGACCTAAGCTCAAGTGAAGGCCCAGCCCAGGCCCTGGCGCAGGCCCAGGCCCAAGCTCAGGGAAAGGCCCAGGTCAGGCCCCATGTTAGATTCTGGTGCAGGCCCTGGGCCAGGCCCAGACTTAAGCTCAGGGGAAGGCCTAACCAGACCCCAGCACAGGCACAGCCCCAGGCCCAAACTCACGGAAAGACCCAGGCCCGACCCCGGCGCAGCCCCAGGCCCAAGCTCAGGGAAAGGCGCAGCCCTGGCCCTAGCGCAGGCCCAAGCCCAGCGCAGACTCCGGCCCAGGCCCAGGCCGAGGCCCAAG